CCACTTTCTCTCTCTCTCTTCCTCTCTCTCTCTGTCTCTCACACACACACACACGTGAGCTCTCTCTCACTCAAATAATCTTAAAAAAAATTCATGCATCATGACAGGAAGCAACAATGAATAGTATGCATGTGGCATGGCAGAACTTTTACTGCACTGTACAAATAACTTTGCAGGATTTGAATAGGACATAAATGGAACTATAAAGAAATAAGACCCTGGGAATGTGACATTGCCGCTGTTCAGTGGAGTCGACTACATAGGCAGCCAGAGGAACATAGTGAGGATTAATTTAGCAGCATAAGTAAGGAAAGGATGAATGTCCCGGAGGAAATGCCAGCAAAAACTTCACATTAAAGGAAACCTCAGAAATTTCATAACATTGAAAGTGCAAAGGATAAAATATTGGAAGCTGACTCAAGGTTAGAAAGGAATGTGAGTGTTTACCAGGGCATAGAAAAAAATGCTTACTCTGTATTCTAAATTATATGAGAAGAAAGCAAGCTCTGTTCAAACTCGTCTTAATAATTGTTTCCGAAGAAATAAAATGCTTTGTCAATGTTTCTAAGTACTTTAAATTACAAAGTACTAAGTAAATAATAGTTTTACTTTTTTTCTCCATTGTATACTTGACTGACAGCAAAGAGTTTTTTAAAGTTTTGGCAAAAGTAAAGGTTGCAGAGCAATCATAATTTTCCCCACTGATCATAACATCATTTTGCCCAGTTTCAGCTTGTGTGGTGATTGTAATGGTTCCCCATACTGCGCATAGTGAGGAATGCCTGTGTATCTATCTCTGCTTGATCCTGTTAGTGAGGGGAAAAACAATCCCAGCATTTCTCACCTGGGAGGCTTTTTCAACTGTCTTTTGCTTTAACTTCTTTAGTGTGTGACTGACTGGGATTATGATTTTTACAAAATTTAGCTTTTCGTGTTCTTGGATATTCTGAAAAAATATGATTGACTTACAGCTTTTCTTTGTATTTCTGTTTACCTCCTTCTGACATACTGTCACTTTTTCATTTTTAACAACAAAAGTTCAGTTAAGAGACAGTGTTCCTTAACTGACATTGGTAGATGCTTGCCTCCTTTCCTTTTCTTTTCTTCCCTTCTTCATTTTTATCCATAGTCTTCATGGAGGTAGATAGAATCCTAATCATTTGATGGACTGAAAGCAGAAGTAAAACAATTTAGTTTCCTGTTACAGAACATTAACATATCATCTTTGGTTTTTGTCACCTTTTTCTATCACTTAAAGTCTAAAGCAGTGCTAGATATGCTGAATTTTGGTGTTTGTATGGATGCTAACTTGGTATTAAACACTGTTTAAAGCTCTGAGTAAAAACTCACAGGTATTATGGAAGGTTAAACTTTCTTTCCTTAATAATAGTGGCAATTGTAGGGGCGCCTGGGTGGCTCAGTTGGTTAAGTGTCTGCCTTTGGCTCAGGTCATGATCTCAGGGTCTTGGGATCCAGTTGTCAGTCACCACCCCCCCCCCATTGGTGGTGTCCAGCTCTCTGCTCAGCAGGGAGTCTGCTTGTGCACTGTCTCTCTCACTCTCAAATAAATAAATAAAATCTTTAAAAAATAATAGTGGCAATTGTAATAATAATTTATAATTGGGCACTGCTTTGTAGTTCACAGCGTACTTTTACCCTCAGGGGGTTCATTTCACCTTTACATTGAATGTAGTGAACTTGTGAGCAGATAACACTTGTATTTCAGAAATGTCGAAAGTGAGATGTTGCAGTGTGTAACTTGCCCTGGGTCCCACGTGGAGTTTATAATCTTCCTGATAGGCTAGGGAGGTGATAGAGTATAATGTATAAAAGATCTGCAGTTTTGGATCAGGGACATGGGCTTGAATCCCAGTCCTTTAACTTAATACCTGAGTTGTTCAGACAAATCACTTCTACCTTCATGAAAATTAGTTTGTCATTTCTCATATGCAGGTTGTTTTGAAATGTAAATGCAGCCCTATGGTAATGTCTGACTTAAGGCATTAAATAAACAGCGTATGCTATAATTAATGTAATAATATTAATATACTATCATTATCATCTCATTCTCAGGAGGTTTGATTTCAAATTTTGGTCAGATCAGCTATATACTATATTATAAATAGTGTTCGGTATGTCTCTTTTCTGCTTTCTTAACATTCTGTACTTAGAGCTATCCTAGAACTTAACCATATCAGGTTGTAGTTGCCTGTTTACTTGTATTTTCCTCCTCTAATAGACTGTGAGCTGCTTGAGAAAATAGGTGTGATGGCAGTTTTCTATGTTATTTATAGAGTTAACAAGAAAAGGTTGAATGCTTTGACCTCCCCAATGAAATACTTAATATTTGCATTAGGTGTTTGTGGTACTAATAATATCTGTCTAATTACTGACACATTATTCCTAATAGACCTTGCTTGTCTCCATAGGAAACCTGATGTGCTTTGATGAAATATAAATTTGGAAATGACTAATACAGCTTGATAGAGAAAAATTGTGCAATTTTCTTGTTGGAAGAACTCCTTAGAGTTTATGTATTATACCCCTCCCATTTTGTAGAAGAGGAAGCTGAGGCTCGAGAGAGTTAGGTGCTGGGGCACTTTGGTGGCTTGGTCAATTAAGTGTCTGCTGTTGGCTCAGGTGATGATCCCACGGTCCTGGAATCGACCCCGAGCCCCGTGTCAGGGGGGAACCTGCTTGTGCCTCTCCCTCTGCACCCCACTCATGCTCTCTCTCTCTCTCAAATAAATAAATAATTTTTTTTTTTTTTAAGAGGAGGGATCACACTACCGGTTGGTGGCAGGATTTTTTTTTTCTTTTAAAGAGTTTATTTTTATTTATTTGAGAGAGAGAGCTAGAGAACCTGGGGGGTGGGGGAAGGGAGAAGGACAAGCGGACTCTGTGCTGAATGTGGAGCCCAACTCTGGGCTTGATCTCACGACCCTGAGATCATGACTGAGCCAAAATCAAGAGTCGGACACTTAACTGACTGAGCCACCCAGGTGCCTCTGGAGGCAGGATTTTTTATTTATAACCCAGGAAAAGAGCAGCACATCAAAGATCATCAAAATAAAGTGATAGCTGTTGCCATTTAAGGAAAACCTAAAACTCCAAGGCTTTTTTTGCAGTAGAGTTTAACATGGGAGTATTAAAAAAACATAAAATTGCACCAATTTCATCAGTCGCCTGCAAGTGCTTGGCAAACAAAATGATAAAAAAACTAAGTTTTCAGAAAGAGCAAAAAGAAAGGGAGGATGCATACTAAATTGTTAACATTGGTTCTTAAGGGGGCTGATATTAGAGAAAGGATAAATTATGTTTTCTTTTTACATTTTGGTATCCATTAACTTTTTGCAATGAGTACATAATAGTTCTGTAACTTAAAAATTCTATAATATAGAAAATTGTTCTTGAAAAAACCATGAGAGATACAAGCCAAAGCAAAGCAGGTAGAGAATGTGAGAGAAGTCTTCTGTCCTCACTGACCTGACTTTTTAGTTGGGGGAACCAAATTTCATACCTGAAAAAAGAATTCACTTTCTTATTCTTGCTTAGCAAGTATTTAAGGCAATGGTAGAAGAAATAGTACAATGAATTGCATAATTAACATTTAATTTGTAGTGTTTATTATAGGAGTTCATAGGGAGATTATAGCAGTGTATAGTAATTGTATTAAAATTATGGATATAGGGTATTATTATTTCTTTTGTAGTAGATTACATTTTGTTCAGTGGTAGAGTAATATGTTTGGAAAGTTATCTTCAGAGCTCAGTGACTTTATCTTTGTCATGTACTTGATTGTTTTTGGATGCCAAAAGAGAGCCTTGAGCAAGGTATCCTCAGGTACTAACAGGAAATATATATTGTTTTACCACTTACTAGACTCATATTGGGATAGGACTTATCTTGTTCATGGAAGAAGATGTGCTACTAGAAAAGTAAACTTTTGGAAAATAACAAGGATCAGATTATGTAGTGATATGTGAGTTGTCAGTACTTTGAAATTTAAAAAATCTTAACATATTTAATTTATTTACATTCTCTACTCCTGTGTGAAATGTTCCGTAACATATTTTTAAATGTTGGAAAACTACAATAAAAACATTCTAGTAAGTGTGGATATGCGTTCTTGGCAGAGGGCTACTGAAGACAGATCACATTGCCTCTAGATTTATAAGATCTATTTAAGAGGCAAAAATTTGAGTAAATTGTTGGGGATTTCTCTGGACTCTACTTTTCTTACTAAAAAGCAGAATTAATAATAACCTAACAAATATAAAAATGTTGGATTTAGCTGAATTTTAGAGCTTATGAAAATCCTTCACAAATAAAGTACTAGGGGATGTAATAGATGGGATTTCTAAAGCTTCTCTAGCTTCAGGAAGCACAGAACAAAGTAAATAGTTAATTGTACATATAGTATGTTGGATAATATCTTCACTAATATAATGGTACATTTAGTAATGAGTTTCATATAACTTTTTCTCAAACTTAGGGTGTAATAAATATTAACAGGCTACTTAGTGAAAATGACTGTTGAAGTCCAGGGTAATTGTGTTAATCTGGCTTGATACAAAGAGTGAGCACAGTCTTATTTTTTTTTTAATCTTTTTTATTTAATTGGGATAGTTGATTTTGACTTACATGTTTGAAATAACTCCAAGGCAAATGAAGTCTCATTTCTACCTAGAAACCAGTTCATATCTCACTACTGTATTTTGTTTCAGTTAATAATTTGTGGCCATTTTTATCACAGTTTCTGATCATTGGTAATCTTTCACATGCAGAAATAAAGATCTGGGAATTTAGATAATTTATTTCTATGCGATTTTATTATGTGTCTTAATTCCTTTTTATGGTGTTTCTTTTAAAAAACTAAAGCTATTTATAAGTATAGAGCTCAGATTGTGTAGTTATTATAAAAAGACTTTTTGCTCACTGGGCTTCTATTATATTCTTGATACCTTATTTGTCCTTTTTTTTCCCCCCAATATTTTCAGATGTTTTGGAATGTTATTAAGCCCAGGTCGAAACGTGAAGAACAGTGACATGCATTTACTGGATATGGTAATGATAATCTTAAGCACATTAACCAAGTATAGATGATAGTTAACTTATATTTTAGGATTATTTTCTATTTTAAAATTTTGTCATATTGTCAAAATTGTTTCTAACTTTCATTTGTATGGTAGTAATAATTTTGGAAACCCAAACTTAAAATTACTTATGAGGGAGAGATTTAGAAAAATTTCCACCAAAAAGTCATATGCAAATTGAAAACAAATAAAAGGATAGTGTTATGACAATGTCCATTTATTCATGTTTGGTTCTTAGAAAGATATCTTTTCTTTGAGCCAAAAATAACAAGTACATGATTATAACAGGCATATCCAGAATGAATATGGTGCCTTTCATGTATTTTAATGCACTGTTATTAATTTGAGTACTATGATGAATGCTTTTGTTTTCTTTAAAGCATTTATTTCCCTTTCTGAATTTATCCTCCTTTATTACCTGTCCTTAGCAAAGTATATTTACTGTAGGAGTGGTACTTATTTAAGGAATTTTCTTGAAGGTTAATATATATTTGAGAGTTGGTATTTGATATAAAAATAGCAAACTATCTTAACTTTTAAACAGAAATACCTTCTATATTGCACTTAATATATTTATTTTGTGATTTAGAAATGTTGTAGGAAAGTCAGAGTATCAAGTAAGTATAAAATAGTAAAATATAAAGTGAGTTAACTGGGATTTTTATACTTAGTGATCACAAGCACTACATGTTTTAATCTTTTCAGCTGAGTTCTGAAAATGTCAATTAAATATCACCAATTATATCATATTTTTCTTTGAGTTATTTTATGATATTGTCACATTGATTTTCTAGTGGTCCTACTGGAAATGGTTTGTTCAGCCTTTTTGAGCACATAATTGTGTGCCAAGCATTGTGTGGAGTGCTGGGGTTATAGATACAGTAAAACATAGCTCTTAGCATCTGTGGGTTTATAGATTTGTGATGAAAACATATCTCTTAAGTATGTAACTATGGCAGTGGGTTAAGAGTTGACACAATGAGCCACAGAGATATAGAGGAAGCATTTCACATAAAGGTAAGGTTAAGACAACCAGTTGCATTGAATGTGAAAACAGATTAACTGTTGATCCACCTTTCTTCCATCCCTCTTTAAAACATATCAGTAATACAAGTGGTTTTACCTAAGGCAAGCCATAGCTTTTTAGAGTCCTGAAAGTACCATGAAGAGGTAGTTCAGGGACATTTAACACTTAGAAGTTCCTAGGTCTTAGTCATGGTCTTTTGGAGTTTAAAAGATTAAGGTGAATCAGTGGCAGAGATTTTTTTTTTTATAAAACCTAAATGCAGATTATAGAATTACAGATTGGCATGAACTTCTGAGGTCCCCTGGTCTTGACTGTCTTAACTTGAAGAGCAGTCCTCCACTTTGAAGAGTCCATATTGAAATCAAAGGGCTTGTCAACATTGAAGCTTCTCTTCAACAAATAGTTGGTAAAAGTGGGAGGGTTTGTATTTGCACTTATCAAGAGTTGTGATTTGTTACTGATCTTTGTGCTATCTTAATACATGGTTATTGAGCTTTGGCTAGACTACAATTCATAAAAAGGAACTTATTACCTTATAATGAAGACTATGGGACAGTTGTGGTTATAACAAAGTTATTTCTTTGTAATCACCAGAAATCATATTCCTTATAATTTTGCCTAATTAGTCTTAGTTCTGTCTTCTAGAGCAAGATGTTATGTTCTTCTGACTCGTTCAAATATGTGAACACTTTGAAAACAAATTTCATTTTCTTGCATTTGATTCTGACAAACTGAAAAATCCTGCAATTATATTTAATTTCAGAATTTGTGAAACTTTTCTATTTAGCTTGAATAATTTTTAAGCAATGCTGACTTTTCTTCCTTTTGAATATTTTCTAATAAGATGAATTGAGACTTTTTATAAATTTATAACTTTAGTTTAATACAAGATCTACATGAAAGAGAAAGTCATATTTGTAAGTGAAAATATATTTTTTAGCAAATAGCCAGATTACTTGTATATAAACTAAATCATCTATAAATAAAATTGGGTTTTGGGGGGATACAAATAACAGAGATTTAGTTTTCTTCCAGTAGTGAGAATATTTTTGGTGAAGATACTTTCAGGAATAAGGAAATTGAAAATTTTTGATCCACAGCCATTGATACTCTTGGTGAGGAAAAATTTTCCTCTACCCTTTAAGGTTCTTTTGACTGGTCTAAGAATTAAATTGACAAGAGACAGATTAGCAGAAAACTAAATTTAATTACATATGTATGGGGGCTCCATAAGAATATGATGCCTACAGGCAGTCAGACAATGAAGCTTATATGCAATTCTAAGCTAAGGAGAAGGGGTAGAAGTTGGGGACTTCAAAGGGAAGAAAGACAATTCAAAGACGAAAAAAAAGTAAATGGCAAACAAATGTTAGTGAAACCACTCAGAAACAAGGGGACATAGGAATTTTAACAGACTTTGCCAGTTTCCTCCCTGACTACCTCACCTGCTTTATTTTATACTGTAGTTATCTATGGTGACCATAAGGGAGAGGTCAAAGTTTCTTCCTCAGACTTTTTTTTTTTTTTTTTTTTAAATAAGCAGCCTAAAAATAACCCACATGCCAAAGAGATACATTTTGGGTGGGAAAGTTTGCTTCCCTATAGTACCTAGGGAAAGCCTAACAGCAAGGTACCGAGAGGAGTTGAAAACTCAGTAGAGCCAGGTTTCTTGGAACTGGAACACAATTTAAAAGTCCTAGAAATGCCTCAGAAAGTTTGTGGATCTTTACAGTTAACCATTTATTGACACTAGACTAGTAGCTGAACTCACAGTTACAAATATGTTTACATTGTAATCCAGTAAGTTTGTAATCTGTATGTGTAAAAAAAGCAGAAATAAAATTTTCATGAAACAGTTCTTACCCCTTACGTGTGTAAGGAACTCTGCTGTTTTTTCTTCTGCTTGATTAAAAAGTCTGGTCATAATCCACTAAATTGATTTTATGCTGTTTGGAAAACAGCCTGTCAGCTCTCTGGGGTCAGGATCATTTTGTTTTGTTTTCCTTGCTGGATACTTATAAGCATAGACCATGGCTTCTAGTAGGCTCATATTTGCTTAATGAATGGATGGATTAGCATGAACTTACATTTTTTACTTTTTCTGTGTGTTATGTCTTTTCAGTACCATGTGTCTGCTTTACCCCACCATCTGCCTACTTGACTTCATAGTTTAAGCTTGCTCATTACTTTACTTGACAATCGTTCATTTGTGGCTTACTATGTGATTCTTTGGCCTCTATCTTATGGCTTTTCTGCCTGTGTTCCCATTGCAAACTGCCATATTCTGTCTGTATTTCCTAGTTTATTTTCCTAAGAGGAGGGCATCTAGTGGTTCCACCCTGGCCTAGTTTGGCCAGAGACATACCTCCTGTTCCTGATTTTGTCAGCCCTGCTTGTGGTGGGGGCAGAGGAGTCAGGAAGAACTCTTCAGCCAAGGTAGTTGAAGAAGTTTTTTTTTTTTTTTTTTAAGATTTATTTATTTTAAAGGCGAGTGAGCAGGGGAGGGGCGGGGGAGAGGGAGAGAAGTCCTCAAGCAGGCTCCCCTGTGAGCGTGAGCCTGACTCGGGGCTTGATCTCACAACCCCAAGAGAGTTGGACACTCAACCGACTGAGCCACCCACGTGCCCCAAGAAGTATCTTTATAAGAGGCTGAGAGCAAGCCAGGCTGTATGATGGAAATGTCTAAGTTCAATAACAAAAATGCCATACTTGATGAGGAGAAACTTTTATTGAGGGCTTTTGATGTGTAAGACAGTATTATTGTGGTGGTGTATAGTGAGGATGACAAAGACATAAAACTATGGTTGTTGAATTAGGCTATTTTGTTAAATAAGCAGCCTAAAAATAACCCACATGCCAAAGAGATACATTTTGGGTGGGAAAGTTTGCTTCCCTATAGTACCTAGGGAAAGCCTAACACCAAGGTACCGAGAGGAGTTGAAAACTCAGTAGAGCCAGGTTTCTTGGAACTGGAACACAACTTAAAAGTCCTAGAAATGCCTCAGAAAGTTTGTGGATCTTTACAGTTAACCATTTATTGACACTAGACTAGTAGCTGAACTCACAGTTACAAATATGTTTACATTGTAATCCAGTAAGTTTGTAATCTGTATGTGTAAAAAAATATACATACATAAAAATATATATATACATACATATATACATACAAATATAAGGAACAAAGATCCACTTATCCACTTAGAGCACCTTAGAGACAGAAGAGGTTATTGATCTTCATGAAATCGTACCTAAACTTGCAAAATGGTCTCTGCTATCTTGACTCTTCTGTCTGCCTCAGCTCCCACCATGGGCTTCCTCTTTCTTTGAACCTCTTTTTAGCTTGGGCTCCTGCCCTTTTTCCACGGCTGCCCCTGCCCCCAGGCCTCTGGTGCTCTGCCCGCCTCTCTTTCTGTACCTCCTTCCCCGTCTCTGCCTCTTGCCTTCCTTCTGTCTCCCCTTTCTCCTTCTCTCGCCTTTTCCCACCTTGTCCTCCTCTCCCTCCCTGCCCCTTCCCTGTCCTCTCTCTGTTCCTCACTCTTCCTCCCTCCTTCCTGCTTCCCAGAATCTGCCTGTGTGTTTGGACTGCGTGATTATTTTTAATGAATTTTTTGTTTGTTTTCTCCATTTCTCTCTTAACACTTAGCAGTTTCCTAATACTCCCTGTTCTTTATATATTCTTTCCTACTTTATAATTTCCGTTACCTTACCACTTCATTTGACGTGTGGCCTGTCAGGGCCTGACTTCTTAAAATCTTTCAGCTCCACTGCTAACTGCCTACTTTCCTTGGTATTTGACAATTGAAAGAAATATTTTGATTGGACTAGCTCATCTTTTTGGACTCAAGCACAGCACAGCTCTTCCCAGAAATGGATTGGGTTTTTTGGGAGGTCAGATGCCCGTTCTTGTTCTGAATGGGGGTCTAATGAGAAGGTAGAGAGGGTAGGCATAGAGAGGGAGAGAGAGGAAGGGGTGGAGAGAGAGATGGAGACAGAGAATGAAGATGAATATATGAATGTAGTGAAGGTGTTGTGTGAGTTTCCCTTACACGCCTTGAGTGTACTTTATCTCCAGAACTTAGGGTTCCTACACTCAAGCTGACAGTTCGATTGGTAAAATACCACCAATACCCTAGGAGAATACATTGTAATTACCAAATGACTGAAATAATTTTGTCGGGTTTCAGAGAAGCATCTGTTTGGGGGTAAAACTGAAAAAAAGTTTTTCTCTTTGTTTTCGTCTGACCGTTTCAGCACTCTCTCTTCCTAATATGAGGAAATGGGTACGGAAAGTTTAAAGTACTGTAGATAATACTCTTTTGCACGTGCACATACTTGTATGCTGTGCGCTGTTCTCCTGTGGGAACACCTCTAACTACTCCCCCTCCCACCCCATGCACACTCGTACACACAGCTGTATGGGATCCCGCTTTCACCATAGGAGCTGCTGCCTGCTTCAGTGAGAGTCAGGAGTGCGCTGGGTGGACGTATGAAGGGGTGGAGGAGATGAGGAAGGGGAGAAGGACAGAGGGAAGGAGGGAGCAAATAAAAAGGTAAAAGGGAGACAGTTAATCAACTTGGCTGTTGATTACAAACCTTTATTAGTCTCCTAACGTTGATTACTGATCGTAAGAAAGTGTACAAATATCTGATATAGGTAATAGAAAATATCAATTTCGAGAAGTGTTGTAAATTAATATTTCAAGAATATATTATAAATTAGAAAATTGGAAGAAAAATACTAACCGCTTTTCCTTTGATTAGCTATTAATTCAGTTAAAATATCTTCAGTTAGATCTATACTGTAGTTTTAATAGAAACTGGACATACTTGTATGCTTAGGTATGTGACATTTTGACAAGCAACCTAAGATAAAGTTAAATGTAACTTCATACCAATATTATGTTTTTGTGAGTCAGCATATTAAGGTATACCTCCTTTTATCCAAGAGGTATGTGCCTCTAAATAGAAACTCTGAAGAAAGCTGTAGGAGAATTTAATATTGAAAAAATGCTTTTGTAGGGTGACAAAAGTTTTACCAAAAAAATCCCATTTGATTGTACATCCAAATTTTAATAAATTAGATTGCTTAAAGTAAGATATAATTTAAAATGGGGATTTTCTTGATGTGTATATTCTCAGTGATTTCTGTCTGAACTTTTACAGGAATCCATGGGAAAGAGCTATGATGGGAGGGCTTATGTTATTACTGGCATGTGGAACCCCAATGTACCAATATTTCTGGCACTTAATGAAGAAACCCCAAAAGGTAAATTTTCTCATAATAGTCATTATTATTTGCTTTAAATTTTATATTATGGTCAATGTTGTTTTGCTGTGTTTTTTTAAATTCTGGTGCTTATTTAAAATGAAGTTATTCTTACACAGATTTTAAATTTTTTAAAAATACTTTATGCATTTATGGGGAAAACCTCCACTATTCAAAAGAATCCTCCCCCAAAATATGTGAATTAGTTTTATTAGATTATGGAGAAAGTATTTGGGGTTTGTGTTTCATATGTTGCCATAAAGTTATTTTATTTGGGGCAATGATGGAAAAGTGTGAAAGAAATGGTGAAAGCAAATTCTTGAATTTTGCATATCTTTGATAACTAGTCTCTTTTTTCCTCATTATAGATTACTTATATTTTTTCATTTTTTAATTGTCCCAATTTTTTGACCTTTGGGATCTTAGTAATGTATATTAAGGATTTTATTTGTGGGAAACACTTTTTCCTAGTTGTTTACCTTTTCATTTTGTTTGACATGTCTAGTGTTAAACAGATAAATTTTTGAGTGGTAAATAGTACATTTATCATTCATCCCATTGTATTTATTTTTATTCCTACTTTATCCAGATATCTGCCAATTGTGTGTTTTTTTTTTTTTTT